GTCCTTTGTCAATCTTTCTGTCCTTTGTCAATCTTTCTGTCCTTTGTTTCTGTTGAGAGTACTGTTCCTGAGCAGTAACTGGTTTTGTTTATTTTTGGACATGCATTGTCTAAACTGTTGTTGTTTCTCAAGATGTTAACTGATTTTAGTTTGGGCATCTGGCTCTCTTGACCATCTTGAGGTGGTCAAAGTGAGTGCTGCTGTCTGTACAAGGTGTAATAGGTTTCCTTACTGTCCTTTAGATCCAGATGTGGCGAGGGACCTACATCGCTTGGTGCAGTGTCTCCGGCTGGTGGGAGACGCCATCACTCTGGAAATGGCCTCGTTGATGGAAACAGCAGTGAGCCACCTACATCCCCCTGAAAAGGCTGCAGAGCAGATCCTCGAGTACCTTCTGGCCAGAGACACGTGAGTTAGACTGACTGCTGGTGCTATGTTTTGTACGATCAGGAATCATGCTTTTTATTTAGTCAAAAGTTACCATTTGGAACCAAAGATGCAGCTGACAGTACCCAACTCCAAGTTGGTCATCGTCAGTTGTGTCATAGAGTCATAAAGGTATACAGCATGAAAAGAGGCCATTCAGCCCAACTTGTCTGTCCACCCAGTTTTCACACTTTTGCCTGGGTTTGGTCTTTATCCCTTCATACATATCCCATCCATGTACCTGTCCAAATGTCTCTTAAATGACAAAGTTGTACTTGCCTCCATCACTACGTCTGGCAACCCGTTCCAGACACTCACCACCCTCTGTTGCCCCTCTGACCCCTTTCGTATCTCTCACCTCCCACCTTAAACCAATACCCTGTAGTTTTAGACTCCCCAACCAGGGGAAAGCTGTTAGCAATCTACCTTATCTATGTCTCTCATTGATTTTATAAACTCTATAAGGCTACCCCTCAGTTTCCTACACTCCAAAGAGAAAAATCCCACCCTATCCAGCCTCTCCTTATAACTCAAACCTGCCAATCGGAGTAGCATCCTAGTAAATCTTACCAACATCTTTACAGCTGCACCAAGACATCCCAAATCCTATACTCAATGATCTGACTGATGAAAGCAAGCATGCTGAAAGCTTTCTTCACCACCCTGTCTGCCTGTGACTCCACTTTCAAGGAGCTATGAATCTGTATCTCTAGATCTCTTTGTTCTATAACACTCCCCAGGGCCCTACCATTGACTGGGTAGGTCCTGCCCTGGTTTGACCTATCAAAATTCAACACCTCGCATTTATCTAAGTTAAACTCTATCTGCCATTCCTCAGCCCATTGGCTGAGTTGATCAAGGTCTTGCTCTCTTCTCAGATAACCACTTTCACTATCCACTATACCACCAATCTTGGTCATCCACAAACTTACTAACCGTACCACCTGAATTCTCATCGAAATCATTTATATAAATGATGAATAACAGTGGACCCAGCACTGATCCCTGTGGCATACAGTTAGTCACAAGCCTCCAGTTTGACAAACAACCCTCCACCACCACCCTCTTGTACCTTCAAGCCAATTTTATATCCATTTGGCAAGCTCTCCCTGGATCCCATGAGATTTAACTTTAGTTAACAACCTACCATGCGGTACCTTGTCAAAGACTTTGCTAAGGTCCATTTAGACAATGTCTACTGCACTGGCCTCATCTACTTTCTTGGTCACCATTTCAAAAAACGCAACAAAATTCATGAGACACGATTTTCCACGCACAAAGCCATGCTGACTGTCCTGAATGAGTCCTTGCCTGTAGATACTATCTCTCAGAATCCTCTCCAACAACTTACCCACCACAGACATTAGGCTGACCGGTCTGTAGTTGCCAGGCATTTCCCTGCAGTCTTTCTTAAATAACGGCACAGAATTAGCCACCCTCCAATCTTCGGGCACTTCACCAGTGACTGTCAATGATACAAATATCTCTACTAAGGGCCCACAATTTCCTCTCTATCCTCCCACAAAATCCTGGGATACACTTCATCAGGTCCCAGGGGTTTATCTACCTTAATGTGTTTTAAGACTTGCAGCACCACCTCTTGTGTGATATGGACTCCCTTCAAGGCATCACTATTTATTTCCCCAAGTTTCCTAGCATTCTTGCCTTTCTCAATAGTAAATACTGATGAGAAATATTCATTTAGGATTTCACCCATCTCTTGTGGCTCCGCACATAGATGACCTGTTGACCTTTAAGAGGCCTTATCCTCTCTCTAGTTACTCTTTTGCCTGTCATACTTGTAGAATCATTTTGGATTCTCATTTACTTTCTTTGCCAGTGCCATCTCGTGTCCCCTTTTAGCCTTCCTTATTTCTCTCTTAAATGTACTCCGGCACCCTCTGTACTCCTCAAGGAATTCACTTGATCCCAGCTGCCTATTCATGTTGTATGTCTCCTTTTCTTGACCAGAGCCACACTAACTCTTGTCATCCAGGGTTCCCTATTCCTGCCAGCCTTACCCTTCACTGTAACAGGAACATGCTAGCCCTTAACCCTCATTAACTCACTATTGAAAGCCTTCGACTTAGCAGACCTCCTTTTGCCTGCAAACAGCCTTCCCTTATCAACTTTTTTTAAAAGTTCCTGTCTAAGACCATCAAACTTGGCCTTGTCCAAGTTAACCTTTAACTTGTTGACCAGACCTATCCTTTTCCATAGCTGTTTTTAAACTACTGGAATTATGGTCACTGTCCTAAAGTGCTCTCCCACTAACACTTCCATTACTTGCCCTACCTTATTTCCCAAGGGGAAGTCAGGTTTTGCCCATTCACTGGTAGGGCCATCTACATACTGCATGAGAAATTTTTCTTGAACGCATTAAACAAATTTCTCTCCATCCAAACCTTTAATACTATGGCAGTCTCAGTCAATGTTAGGAAAGTTAAAATCCCCCGTTATTACAATCCTGTTATTCTTGCAGTTATCTGTGATCTCCTTGCATATTTGTTCCTCATTCTCCAGCTGGCTATTCAGGGGCCAATAGTGCAATGCTATGAAAGTGATCTCCCCCTTATTTCTTTGTTGGACCCATATATAGACCGTGGATGAACCCTCAAGAATGCCCTCTCTCAGTACTGCTGTGATGTTTTCCCTAATCAAAAGTACAACTCCCCCTCCTCTCTTGCTTCCCCTTCTATCCTTGCTATAGCATCTGTACCCTGGAACATTGAGCTGCCAGTCCTGTCACTCCCTCAACCATTCCTCCCTTTATTTCTTACATTCTTATTGCAAGGTATTGTACTTTAACTGGGCTCTGGGACCTAGAAGTGGCAGCTATACTGCAGGAACATGATGGTTCATGTAGACTCTTTCACTTTGGGGGTCTACATGCCAGAGCCTTCAGTTACCTTTCTGTCTGTACAGTTCAGAGTTTCTGTACCTTCCAAGGTCCATCTCTTGTTCTAGTCTGAGCTCCTAGAAAGTACTAGCATATTGGAAGGTTTCACTAATGGTCTTCCAGTTTCACTTAAAGCCATGATACTGCGGGTGTTATCCACAATAAAGTGACTAACAGAAAACACCTTATTGATAAGGAACCAGATGTTCTGGACAGAACCTTGGGAGAGGGAGAGTGGATTGTTGATTTGTTGTCAGAGTCTTGGAGATACCAGGCATTGGAAAGGAGGTTTGTGTGATTGGCTGTTGTTTTTTATTAGCGTGTTAATTCTGTGCATGGCCAGGAGTAATGAGTAGCCCACATCTATCTTTGTGATGATCAGTTGAATATTTGCAGCACAAGAAATGAAGTGAACTGAGCTGAGCAGATGGCTGTGCCTCTATTTCTGTATCAATCTGTCGTCTTTGTTCTGAGAACGGGTGAGGTGCTGATCAGAATGGCATTTGTTGTCCATCCTCCACCGCCACATCGGTGTTGGAGGACCACTTCATTGAACCAGTGCTGTTCCTTGTGGTGGATGGTGCTCCCATTGAATAGCAGGAGCCTGTGATCGTAGAGAGGCAGGTACTCACCCTATTGCTACGCTTGTCCTTTTCCACAGTGGTGCTCACTGGGCTGGAAGGTTTGCTTGGAGTGTGGAATATGAGCGAAGCTTTGGAGTGCTGTGGCATTCTCTGCTCTGTTGTATTTTCAACAGCTGTGCTGTCATTATGGTGCTCATCCCTCATCCAATCATGGATTGTGAAGCTGTCCTTAAGGGCCCAAGGATCAGTTTAATTGTACCTCTCCCTCTTGTTTTTCATAGTGAGACGCATATGGAGCTTCAAAGTAAATTGCAGGATATCCGTAACCCAGGGAACGTAATCCAGTTGCTGCTGCGGGAAATGGACCAGGAGGGTGACCTGGACACAGGCGATGGTATGGGGTGATTCCTGGGCTCGAGCTGTGTGCTAATTGATGGGCTACACCATCAGAATCTGATCTGATTTTGTTTTTTGGCCAGCTCTGTCAGATTTGTGAAACTGAAAACATCCATTCAGACACTGGCAATGGACTCTCTCTCTGCTTATGTTTGTGGTCCAATGTATTTGAATGGAACAGTGTGAGGATGGTGCTCACTGATCCTGCTGCTGTAGGTAAGAGGTCAGCTGTGGCTCTGCCTCCCCAAACAAGTTAGGCTTTTAGTCTTTGAACTAGTAATGAACTATGCCGGGCTTTACTTTCTTATTTGCTTCATTTAAATCATGCTAGATTGGTTCCTTTTGCACCACAGCAATCTGCCTAAAATGTTTCCTGCTGTAGTTATTGACTGGGAGGGTGAGAAGGCTAGGAAGACTTTCTCTTGCTTTGTGGTTGTACTTTATGGTTCTGATGTTAACAGGTCTCTCTCTGGTATGAGCAAGTGACTGAAATACTGTCTGTAAGATATGAGCCTGTTGTCTGTATAAACCATATGTTTGGTTATATTGTGTTCTGTAAGAATCCTTTGTAAGATTATCTTTCTCATATCCCTTGCACAGTTGATAGTGCACCACGTGCCAACCTGCCCCCAGATCTCTTCTGAATTGGCTGCAGGGAGATGTACGATGTATCCTGGGGTACTTTTTGTTTGTGCCTCTTCGCTAATCTGCTTAACCACAATATACCACACTGGGTAGAGAGCTCCGGGTGCAAGGTGCAGACCTGCGTGGCACTGTTGGCACTATTAGGTTACAACAACCATGTTGCCTGCCCAGTGTGTTGTATTTCAGTATTATCTTAAAAATTGCTTTATTGACTCCACCACAGAAGATCGGCAAATGTAATGTTTCCATCCTATTTGAGAAACACTATATTGCAAACAAATGAATAGATTTGAATGAACGTCAGTACTCTGATAGGGTTTGGTACAAGGAAGGCATGATGAGTTTTTGGTGAAGATCCAGATCCTGATTTTTTTTTTTAAGATTCTGCTAATTTTCGAATGTTGTGGATTGTCTCAGTGGCTCTGGTAGAGTTTGTCACAGCTGCCAAAATGAGAGCAGCGTTTTCAAAGCAGATTGTTTGACATGGATTGCATTGAAGCCCTCGTCAGTGAGATGGAAGTTTTTCCTAAAAAATGTTTTTTATATTTTTCATTTTTAGAATTGCAGAGCATCAACCAGGCAGGAGAGAGCCTCAAGGAAGAGCTGTGCCATTGTAGTAACATTAGCAGTGTAGGGAAGGTCCACATTTCCAGTGTCCCCTTCACTTGTTTTCTTCCTGTTTTTTCCAGTCCAGCCTCCGCACATTCGGATGAACATCACTCAGTTCTTTGGCAGCAATGTTGCCATTAACATTGTGTGTCAGGCAGTATACCACATGTCTGTGACTCGGTTCCTCATCTGTCGTGACTTGCTGATTCTGGAGCAACTAATGTTGCACCTAGGAGACAGTGTAAGTACAATATCAATGACCTTATAACCCATGTAGGCTCAGTGAGAACTCGGTGATGAGCAGTCTGTCTCACATTTCTCCTTTTGCCCATAGTGCATGTTTGTCATTTAGTACAGCTCATCTCCTAACATAGAGGTATGTTGTATCTCAGTAACGCTGAAATCATTTCCATTTAATATCTGTTGCAGTTGTTGTTCCAAAATAACTTGTTGTGAAAGTTTTTTATTTGGTTTGCTGTTGTCTAAGTGACTGTAGTCATAGATCATGGAATAGTACAGAACGGAAACAGGCCCTTCGGCCCACTGTGTCTGTGCCATTCTAAACTAACCCTATCTGCCTGCACATCGTCCATATCCCTCTGTTTCCTGCCTGTTCATGTGTCTGTCTAAATGCCTCTCAAGCATTGCTGTCATATCTGCTTCCACTAACTCCTCTGGCAGCACATTCCAGGCACTTAACCATCCTCTGTGTTTTAAAAAAAAACTTGCCTCACACATCTTTAAATTTTCCCCCCGACTTTGAACTTATGCTCCCTAGTATTTGACATTTCGGCCCTGCGAAAGACTCTGACTATCCATACTATCCATGCTCTCATAATTTTATATACCTCTGTCAGATCGCCCCTCAGCCTCTGACACTCTAACGAAAGCAATGCAAGTTTGCCCAACCTCTCCTTATAGCTAACCAACTTCAATCCAGGCAGCATCCTGGTAAACATCTTCAACACCCTCTCCAAAGCCTTCATATCCTTCCTATCATGTGGTGACCAGAATGCGTACAATATTCCATATGTAGCCTAACTATAATTTGTACAGCTGCAACATGACTTGACAACTTTTACGCTCAATGCTCCAATTGATGAAGGCAAGCATGATGTATTTTTTTTTTTAACTGCCTTATCTACTTGTTTTGCTACTTTCAAAGAGCTTTGGACTTTCACCGAAGATCGTTCTGTTTATTAATGCTCCTTGGGGTCCTGCCATTTACTGTATACTCTCCTTTTGCGTCTGACTTCCCAAAATGTCTCACCTCACTGTTGTCGAATTGCACTCTATTTGCCATTTCTTCGCCCAGCTTTCCAACTGATTTATATCCTACTGTATTCTTTGACAACCTTCCCCACTATTCACAACACCACAAATTTTCGTGTTGTCTGTAAACTTATTAATCAGACCACCTACATTTTCATCCAAATCATTTACGTATATTGCAAACCACAGAAGTCCTAGCACTTGCAGAGCAGTGTAGATCACAAATCTCCAGTCAGAAAAACACCCCTCCACAGCTATTCTCTGTCTTCTGTGACCAAGCCAATTTTGTATCCAACTTGCCAACTCATTGTGGATCCCATGTGACTTAATCTTCTGGACCAGCCTACCATGAGGGACCTTGTCAAATGCTTTAGTAAAGTCCATGTAGACGTCATCCATTGTCCTATTCTCATCAAACAGCTTCGTCACTTCCATGGAACAACTCAAATTTGCGAGACAAAATCTCCTCTGCACAAAGTCGCATTGACTATCCCGAAGCAGTCCATTCTTTTCCAAATGTAAATAAATCCTGTCCCTAAGAATCTTTCCATTAATTTCCGTATGAGTGATGTAAGGCTCACCAGCCTATAATTTTCTGGATTATCCATGTTTCCCTTCTTAAACAAAGACAACATTGGCTTTTCTCCAGTCTTCTGGGACATTGCCTTTGGCTAAAGAGGATGCACAGATCTCGGTCAAGGACCCAGCAATCTATTCCCTTGCCATCCTCAGTATCTTGGGATAGATCCCCTCAGGCCCTGGGGACTTATCTACGTTAATGTTTTTCAAGACCCCCAACATCACCACACCTTTATTGATATGCCCTAAAATATCAACATCCCCCTCCCTAATCTTACGATCATCCATGTCCCTCTCCTTCGTGAATACCGATGTGAAGTATTCATTAAGGACCTCACCCACTTACTGTAGCTTCACGCATAAATCCCTACAGTCGTCCACAGTTTCTCAATCTTGTCATCCTTACCATTCATCCTTGCAGGAACATACTGGTCCTGAATTCTGGTCAACTGACCTTTTAAAAAGCTCCCATATGTCAAATGTGGATTTACACTCAAACAGCTGCCCCTAAACTAATTCATCCAGTTTGTGTCTAATACTGTTGTAATTAGCCTTCCTCCAATTTAGCACTTTCACCCAAGAACCACTCTTATCCTTATTCATAGCTATCTTAAAACTTCCTAAAATGCTCCCCCACTGAAACTTCGATCACCTGACCAAATTCATTCCCCAATATAGTATGCTTATTCCCCAGTTGGATAATCTACATATTGTTTCAAGAAAGTGCCCAGCACCCCCTCCCAGATGCACCCAACAAATTCTGCCTCATCTAAACCCTGACACAAAGAGTCCCAGTTGTTATTGGGAATTTAAAATTGCCCACTGCAACAGCCTTGTTGTTTTTGCACCTTTCTCTGATCTGCCTACATATCTGTTCACCTATCTCCTACTGGCTATCTGGTTTGATTTTGTTTTTGGTGTTTGCATGTATCCTGCATATTATACGTGGGATTAGGTTCATTCCTTGCAAAATAATCTCCCAGCTCAGGGGCAATCCTGATTAGACCAATATTATTTAGTTGGCGAGAAGTCAAGGGCACTTTTGGCAATCTGAACCCACTGAAGTTAGGAAAGCCTCGTCCCTGTCAGGAACTTCTCAAACATCGAGAATGATGTTGTTAAATCCTAAACTGTGTGCTGTTCTTCAGATGAATCTGGGAGCTGGTGGCTACCTCTTGCAGCTCCAGCAGGATCTCATTCCTCGGACCTCTCTCCTCGTGTGTTCCTACTTTGTGGTCAGGTGGGCGAGTCGATCCTTGGCATCAGCAGTACCTGTCGACATGATGTAAGTATGGTCACAAAGTGGTCTCAAGCCATAGCTTTTGTTAATATTGACGGTACTTGATTGTTAATACCCTGCCCTTGTATGAAGGCCTCAGTTATCAGCAAACGCAGACTGTGTGCTGAAATGCAATTATTTGAGTGATTTTCATGGGGCATTCTTTTCTGACATACAATGAGATGTATTCATACAGTGGGCCAAGCACTGAATGCTCATCTCTGGGACTTGAGAGGTTCTTCTGAAGTTGGGCCTGAGAACAGAGTTTCACCTGTGCCTCATCTGATCAGAGCTCGCATCATTGAACCCCTACAGTGTGGAAGCAGGTAATTCGGCCCATTGAGTCACACTGACCCTCTAAAGAACAGCCCACCCAAACCCTCCCCTCTACCCTATCACTGTAACTGGGCATTTCCCATGGCTAGTTCACCTAGCCTGCACATTCCTGGAAACTGCAGGGCAATTTAGCACGGCCAATCCACCTAAGCTGCACATCTTCAGACTGTGGGAGGAAACTGGATCACCCAAGAGGAAACCCATGCAGACACGGGGAGAAATTTCAAACTCCACACAGACAGTTGCCCGAGGGTGGAATCACACCTGGGTCCCTGGTGCTACGAGGCAGCAGTGCTAACCACTGAGCCACAGTGCCGCCCCAAGTTGAATTCAGATTTCATCATTTGCCTTGCTGGGATTTAAACTCATGACCCAGAGCATTAATAGTGCAGTGATGCTACCACTGTGCCACTGCCTCCCTGCAGTTTTTTAATTCATTAATGGGATGAGGGTATCACTGATTGCATCAGCATTAATGGCCCATCCCAAGTTGCCGTTGAGAATTGTCATCTTAGGGTGTAGGGACGCCCTACATGTTGTTAGGGAGAGTTCCAGGATTGTGACCCAGTGACACTGAAGGAACGGTGATATATTTCCAAGTCAGGATGGTGAGTGGCTTGGAGGGAGCTCGTAGGTGGTGGTGTTTCCATATATCTCCTGCCCTTGTCCTTTGAGATGTAAGTGGTCATGGGTTTGGAAAGTGTTATTGAAGAATTTGGTGAGATTTTGCAGTACATCTTATTGATGGTGCACACTGCTGCTACTGAGTTGATTTGATTTATTTATTTGTTACAAAATACAGTGAAAAGTCTTGTATAGTGTTGCCACTCGGTGGCACCAACTTAAAACACAGAAAATTAAACCAAACCATAAAAAAAGGCAGAAAAATAAAGAAAAAGTGTCCAACATTACATTCCTTCTTGTTAAGCGCTCCATCATGGACCATGGGCATGGTGGCCAGGCACGAGTCCCCTTCACCTTGCCACCACCACTGGAATGAAAGTTGCCCACTCTTTGGCACCATCTCGCCTCCAATGACGCCCTCCAACAGAGTACTTCCTGGATCTCACCAGTGCAGACGCTATAGAGTACAGCACCAGCCTGAACCCAAACCCAATTCCGCTGCTGCCATGAGTCCCCTTTGGACCCACCTCACTGATACAACCACTCCCAATGCTGCAGGGTCTCGGACTGAGCTCAATCTCACCTCTGCTGCTGCCTCCGTGAATGCGCGCTGGATGCAGAAGCTCTCATAAACCCAAACTTAGCTGCACTGCAGCAGGCTTGAGTCAGCACTAGGACCGCCTCGTCAATGCAGAAGCCACCTGGAACCCAAAATCTTGTCTGACACAGCCACGAGTCCATGCTGGGACCGCTGAATGACGATGCTGTCACTGCAACCAAGCTTTTCAACAAGAGGTAAATAAAATAAAAGGAAGAGGAAAAAGAGCGAAGAAAAGAAGAAGAAACAAAAAGAAAAGTGGATGGAGCAGATGAGCCCTGGGCTCAGAAGCCCTACTCCACCTCCATCTTACCAGAGTAAATGTTTGTGGATGTGGTGCCAATTAGGCGGGGGCTGCTTTGTCCTGGAGGGGGGTTGTCAAGCTTCTTGAATGTTTACTGGAGCTGTACCCATCCAGGCAAGTGGGGAGTATTCCATCACACTCCTGACTTGTGCCTTGCAGATGGTGAACAGGCTTTGAGGAATCAGGAGGTGAATTACACGTTGCAGTATTCCTTGACTTTGATCTGCTCTTATAGTCAGTGTTTATGTGATGAGTTCAGTTTCTGGTCAGTGGTAACCCCCTGGGGTGGGATCAGTGGTGACACCATTGAATGTCAGGGGGCAGTCAGACTAGGGATATCCAACAGTGTCTGCTCCACACCACAGCATACTAATGTTGGGACGTTCTTCAGGATAAATTGAACAATGTGACTTGCTTTTCCCATGTCCAGTGATAGAGGGCAGCACCTGCAAAGAGCTGGGAATGGAGCAACGTTGTACAGTTTCCCAGGGCTGGGCTTTGGGCTCAGAGCTCAGGACACCAGTCACAATGTCTCATTAACAGGAGTAATCTGTTGGCTGGAATGTACACACACTGTGGGTGGAAAGGTATAAGGTTCTTGAAATGTTATGGCAGTTGCCAAAGGAAACTGACAAACCCTTTTGTGTGATTTCAGGGAATCAAATCTGCGGCAGTTGTCTGTATTGGAGCTGACGGACTCTCATATCTTAACTACCCAGCGGCCAGGTGGGTATATGTGGGAAACCTCTGTCCTGTGGTGGGAGGTCAGTGAGGAGTATAGAATGGTGTCAGTGGAGAGAATCTATTACATTCCTGAGAGTCAGAAGTCACATGACACGAGGTTATAGTCCAACAAGTTTATTTGGAATCTCACAAACGTTTGGAGCACAACCCCTATGTTAGATGCAGTGAGAGAGCAGGGCACACAGACCCAGAATTTGTAGGCAGAGAGATCAAGAGATCATACACCTGGTGTGAGTGGAGTCAGATGATAAGTCTCTGCAGGTGACTAAGAGTGTTAGACAGTGAGTAAAGTGTTTATAAAGTTAAAGTCAGTGCTGTGCTGTCATGACATTGTAGGTGTGAGGCTTTGTTCACAAGCTGTCTGAGTTTTAACCTGGAATCAGGCTGGTTTTATTCTGAAAACTGGAATTTATAAGATGCCACACTGACTGTGATTACAAATTGTGTGCTTTTAGAATAAGATAGACTGTATCCGCAAATAAACAAACATCTTGGATGAAATGATTCACTCCGTGGGAGGGTGGGGGGATGTGTGTGCGTGTGAGAGATACTGATATATTCCTATGGCTCTGCCTGATTGTCACACAGGCGCAGCACTGGCATTGAATATAAACACTTTACACACAGTCTAACACTCTTAGTCACCCGCAGAGACTTTTCATCTGACACTCCACTCACACCAGTTGTATGATCTTTTGATCTCTGTGTCTGTGTGCCTTGCTCTCCCACTGCACCTGACAAAGTGCTGTGCTCCAAAAGCTTGTGTAATTTTAAATAACCCTGTTTCTGAGGGAATATCAGACCGGAAAGCTAATGGAGAGAGAAACAGTTGAGTTATTGAGAGGACAGTTCATGCCAGGAGGAGTGGGTTGGCATGTAAAAGCCAGGGTTTGGGGTGGGCGAGTTAGCATACTGGACCAAATGTTTCCCAGGCTGAACAGTCTCTCAGTGTCTGACGTTTCAGCTTGTACCTGACCTGCCTTCAGTTAGTGCAAAAAGACAGGTCTAGTCTAGAGGCTAATGTACAGCATGCTGTAATGGACAGCCTAGGTCACTGTTAATATTCAGAGTTTAAGCGTTGGTGCTTAGTGTGGGACCATGAGGATATTACCCAGGGAGTGGATTTCCAGTTCTAGTCAGTGTGGTTTCTGGTCTGTCTTTCTGTTTTCAGCGAAGTGATCAATGATGGTTTTAAGTGAATCTAGGGAAGCTGGTTGACCTTATAAGGTTGACCTTATGTTGACTTATTCTCTAACCCTAGTTAATGTCATGCTGATTAATTGTTCTCCTTGTTTTCCAGTCACCGGCCCAGGCACAGTGGTGGAGCTGTTCTATCAGAATGTGGCCAGAAAGCACATTCTCTCCCGGCTACTGTCCCAGGCAAATAGCCCTTTAAACCAGCCACTGATCAACTATACGCAAGTTGGGATTGCTCTCGCCAGCCACCTCCTACAATACTTGTATCCTTTAACACGGCAGTGTGCACGGACAGTAATGTGAGTGTCTCAGACAAATTGTGTTTGGTATCAGTGATGTATACGAGAAGGTGACTGGCTACCTTTTGAAGAAGAGCTTGGAGAAAATAGTATGAGGACTGACTGAAAGAGATTTTGAGATGTTAAAGTGGAGAGAGATGCAGAGGGATGGAGAAGTTCAAGAAGAGAGTTTCAAAGAGCAAGATTGAGATCAAAGACGAGGCCAGGACAGAACAAGCAGAAACGAGCACCTGGAGTTTGCAAAGGTATTGGTAAATGGGGAATGGGAATTATGAACTCCCCAACTGGTAGATGAGAAACACTGAAGGTCTATGAGGACTGGGACCTTAACCTAGTGGGAGTTATTGAGAGACTGGAATAGTGTTGTGCTGAGCAGTGTGTGTTGGGAGTAGTTTAGCCTCGATGTACAGAGAGGGGAAAATGGCAGTGAGACAGCCGATTGTTTGGATAACTTAAGGTCGGATTTGAAAGAATTCCAGATCAATTAGGGCAACTAAGTAGATGGGAAGCAGGGTGGATTCGAGGGCTGGTGTACCTGGCTTCTGACAGGCATTGATAAAGCTGGCCTCGACCTTCCTGATTAGCTAAGGGCCTGTTTCAGCTGAGACAACTAGGTAATTCCCACAGGTAATAAAGGAGTTGCTTGCTGTCCAGATATTTATGGAAATTGATCTAGTGCTGACTGTTAATATCACAGGCCTTCAGTGAGGAAATGGGCAGGTACTGTCAACACAAAGGTTAGCACCGGATACTGTGAGCTATGTGGTTGTAATACTGGGAGCCTGGCGGGAGCTGGATGCTGATTAGTCTGAGAATGTAGGGTGCAGGAATGGTCCAAGTTGTAGGGTCCTGAATAAGGCACTTTGCTCAGCAACAGGACAAGATGTGTCAGTTATTTGTTTCTTGGTCTACAGGCCTTTGCTTTGTACTGCAGGACAACTCTGGCTGTACACAGAGAGTGAGGTTAGGGCTGTTTTCCTTGGAATAAAGAAGCGATTTAACAGAGCTGTTCAAAATCAGGACGGGTGTGGACCAGTTGGGTAGAGAGAAATTGTTCCCCATCTGAAAAGGACTGAGAGAGAGAAGGCATGAAGTAAAGTTATTGGCAAAAGAAGCAATGGTGATGCAAGAATAAATGTTTTCACGCACACCGTCTGCCACTTTTGATCATCCGCGGAGACTTGTTATTTAGCCTGTTGACTCCACTCACAACATTTGTATGATCTTTTGATCTCTGTGCCTATAAATTCTGTGCCTGTGTGCTTCTCTTCACTTCACCTGATGAAGGAGCAGTTCTCTGAAAGCTTGTGATTTCAAATAAACTTGTTGGACTATAACCTGGTGTCGTGTGACTTCTGACTTTGTCCACCCCAGTCCAACATCGGTACCTCCATGTCATGTTTTCACGCAGTGACTGGTTATGGTCTGAAATGCAATGCTTGAGAGTGTGGTGGAGGCAGGTTGAATTGAAGTATCCAAAAGGGTATGAGACAATTATCTAAAGAGGAATAGTGTGACAGGGTGAGGGCAGGGGAAAGGCAGTAAATGAAATGCTCATTCAGGGGCTGGCACAGCCACGATGGGCCAATTCATTGCTTCCCATGCTGTAACAATTCTGAGATTCTGCGGTCACATTTTGTGAATATTGTTAATTGGAAAAAAGATGTAGTGGCTTGTGAACAAGTGTGATATAGACGTCAGCTCCTTTCTTTCCTATGCTGGTTGTGTCTGTCCATGTGCGTTTTTAAACATTGTTTCTCCCTCCTGTAGATTGTTTATTCTGTCTGCGTCCTTGCTTGGCTGTACCGAGGAGGCCATTGTGTGGCTCTTTGTGGGTTTTTTTTGTCCTTCTGCCAATGCAGCTGCTGATGATGGGGTCTTCACAAAGTGAAACACTCCAGTACTCCATGGAAATGCCGGAAGCTGACCATAGGTTCCCTATATTGTATGCTGTGCAGTGTGTATGGTTTGTACCCTCCTGTCAGCAGGATGTTTATTCAGTGACCTATGGCTACCCCAAACTTTCTTAACAGCAATCAGATGGGCGAATAACAGCAGCTTTCTTTTTGCAGAGTTTCTCATGGGACACTGCCAGTATGTACAGCTCCAGGTCAGTAGTGCTGAATGTTTTCACTCTATTTTCTCAAGTTCTCCACCACCATTCTATTGCCATCTTCCTCTGACATCCGAGTTTATATCTGTTAATCCACTGCTGATCAAGCTATGCTAAAGCTCAGCTTTTCCCTCCACGTTGTGCCTGCAGCCTTTGACATGGTTGACCAACCATCCTCTTCTGACACCACCTCACCTCACTCAGAACCAGAGCACCTCATTTCAGAAGATTCTGTCTCTCCCTCCTCAAAGGCCTATTCCCTCTGATGTCCCCCAGTCTCATACCTCTCCTATTCCTCATTGATGTCCCGCTGTTCAGTGCTATTCTCTGAAAACACCATGTTAGTTTTCATGTGTACACTGGCAACACCCTGCTCACTTCCACCACTCTCGTCTTCCCCATGGTTACTAAATTATCAGATTGCTTATCCCACGTTGGACAGTGGAGGAGCTGAAATTCCCTCCAGTTAAACATTGGGAAGATCGAAGACATTATGCAGGTCCAGCTCCAAGCTCTGCTCCCTAACAACTGTACCCATCGGTCTCCCTGGCAATTGCCTGATGTGAAACCAGTCTGGTCACTACATCAGTCTCAGTCTCTTAACTGCACAGGAGCTCCTGACTGGTAGCTGGACTGTCACCAAGACCAGCCACTTCCATTTCCCAAGCTTCCCTCATCCACGTCATTAACATATATTACACATGTACAGAGAGACCTTCTTTGAGTTTGGTTCCAGTTGCATCATCTGCAAAGAACTGATTGCAATTGTCTTATTGGGCAATAGATTGCCAAACAGTTCCTTCTATCCAGCAGCAAGCTGATAGCAGGGAATCACTGTGTTGTCAACTACCAGTGACATAAATTTATAGTCTAGCGTGCAGGAAGGCAAGGAGTACTACCCTGTCACTGTTTGTAACATTGCTCCAGGACAAACCCTATCGATCAGGGGTCCCTGCACCGGGGCTGGCCCCATCGATCAGGGGTCCCTGCACCGGGGCTGGCCCCGTCGATCAGGGATCCCTGCGGGAGGACAGTCCCCGTCGATCAGGGATCCCTGCGGGAGGACAGTCCCCGTCGATCAG